TTTACTTGCGACCGGACAAGTACAGAGATCAGTAATGTCTACAGAAAAATTCCCAGAAGCAAAAAACATGCTCGCAATGGTGACTACCTCATATTTATAGGTTACTCCTATTGAGGACCCTGTAGTGGTCGGACAATATTTATGATCGCTTTTAGGAATACGACTGCATGTTAGAGAAAAAAGCTTTGGAAGATATCTCGAAACACTCCTGTCGGAAGCTCTCGCCCGCGAACCACATTCAGTGACGTGAAACGGAACTACCGTTACATTACCACGACTATTCGGGACTACCAGCCAGAGAAGTCTCCAGAAGTTGCATTGATCGAGGTAAGAAAGCACGGATTCTGGAAGTGTGCCTTATTTGAACCACTTAATAGCTGCTTTTAAGGCTGCTCACGAATGGTGGGATCTTCACTTGTACAATCAGGGATTTCAAGGAGTCACTCCTCAGAGGAAAGATTTTCCAAACGATACCGTTCTTTTTGGTTCGTTTTTTAAATTTTACGCCTGGCTAGTGTTACGGTCTTGAAAATCATCTGGTGACACTCCATAAGTGCTGTTAATTTTACATATTAGAACGCCAAAGTGGCAGTGTTTTACAGCGTTCCCTCTCTTGAAGAAATGGAGAAAGGCAGAATCTCTAATTTTTTTTACCAACTTTTGCCGTAGGGCGGAAGTGGTGTAGTGGCAAGTGGCACGCTTACCACGCGAGCGGTCCGGGGATCAAATCCTGGGTCGTGAGTCGCCCGGGAACCAAGCCTTCCATCCCTCCGGGGTCGGTTAATTGGTACCAGACTTGTCTGGGAGGATAAAAACACTGACTTGTACATCGGCTGGCCCCCGCAAGTCATTGTATAGGCCACATCGCATTCAAACGCCACTGCGAATGTACAAATGGAAGTAGAATGCGTGCCGCATCCCAAAAAGGGATTGATCAACGGCAAATGCTTATCCTTTTTATCCTTTATTGCCATGAAATTGAGGCACTTCGTGCTACCTCTCCTGAGAGCGAAATATTGATGGGGTTATGAAGAACTTCTGAAACACGGCAAACACCTTGCCGAAACAGCTTTATTCAGCCTTCAAAAAGTTCAGCTTCGCTTCATAAATATTTCAGCACACTCCTCCGGTGTTCAGGGGTCCCGAGATAAAAAATGAGACGCTACAACTCTGATAGGAGAGGTGGTTGGGGTAGGGTGGTCGGGTAGGGGTAGTAAGCATGAGTCTAACCTCTTAACCACTCGGCTATCCCTGCCTCAGAGGTATTCTTGAATCAAACTCTTATTTTGAAGGTGTTTGTTTAGTTTGTTCAACCAAGACCGCTTGTGCATCGAACACCAAATCACGAAAGGTTATGGTGGTGGTGGTCACAGGTGCTGGACACGCAGAGGGCCCAACCGTGACGTTTCGCACTTTTTTTAAATTTCGCCTCCCCCTTCTTTAGGGGTCCCGATGCGACACCCCACTTCTACCATGAGACTCAGGAGGCTGCCCCAATACGACCACCCTTACCACTACCAGCGTACACCCCTACCCGACCAATCACCCAGTGCGGAACAAGCCCACTCGCCCACTTTCCTTCAATGCTGCTTTCGAGCGTGGGTATGTGTATTAGTGCTATAAAACGGCAAAATTTCTCTGCCCCCCCCCCTGCACCTAAACAATCTAAATCACCTCACCATCGCCATTCACTCAACAAATTACTCTCCAGTTACTATCCCAATCATCGCTACCCACCATCCTTCCCAAAACTACAAACGCGACCCCCCTCGTTCCAGCAATGCGAACGCACGGTTGACCTTGCTGAAGGGTGGTGCTAGTTAAAGGAATCTTCCACGGAAAAAGCTCCGCCCCTCATTACCACAGAAAACGATACCTTAAAGGAATCTTCCACGGAAAGAGTGATCATTTTGTCTTGTGTGTAGGATTAGTATTATCGAAACTAACGCTTATGTTCCGTTCTTTTTGCTATGCTCATGAGGCTAGGGGCCTAAGGGGTATCGTTTTTCTGGGTAATGGAGGCGGAGCTTTTTCCGCGGAAGATTCCTTTGATGACGCCAATGAACGTCATTAGTGAAAAGCTGTTGAAAGGTGGTTCTGACCACACCCCTAGTGCGATGACGTGAGAGGTATAGTCCGCCAATAACGCTCAATGACGTCATCAGAATCTTACTGTCTTTAGATATCGTGATCATTGCCTTTGATTTGAACAGCTCAAACGTCGCAACAACAGTGTATTACTGGACCATGTATTGGATCTCACGCCTTGTTTGGGTGATTTGCGCCACACATGTTTGGCATAAAACAGTAGCAGACACGTCGCAGATCAACGATACATCCCAATAGTTGTGAAATCTTGATGGAAGTGGAGCGAAACCACCGACCGAACTACTGTTGCTGAATTATTGTATAATAATAGTTCTGTTTCCAGATGGCTAAAGCCGAAACGCCCAGGATCGGTTGCGCAGTGGACCTCTGCCCTATTGACCATAACATGAAATTTTATGTCGTTCTCTGCTATTACGCACATCCGTGAGTTGGGAATCTTTCTAGAATGTCGGTAACAAAATAATCATTTCTCTCTTCAGGAACGTCAGGGCGAAGGAGCCACTTTACCAGGAAGGTCTAGCATGCTCCAATTGTCCCGATGGCTACAAATGCGACGACGAGAAAAAGCTTTGCAAAAGGATGTGAGGACGGGATTCCTATAGACAATAAATGTCTCTCTAGAAACCTTGATTCGACACAAGACGTTTTTTAAAAGTTCGATCCAGCTTGCTGTAGCCAGAACATCTGTATAAATGAATATCGTTGAACTCATACCACAGCTGTGCTGGTTTAAACAATAGATTGGCAACGCCTCGTACCAGGGTGAAAATCGTGTCGAGGACGTGGTCACATCAGTACGACCCCCCCTCAGATCGGGGTCTTGATACGACCCCTCTAACTTTGATTTGATGTGAATAAGCGAGTTCCATCAATGTACAGCAAAGCATTCAGTTGCAGCGCGGTTTATCCGTGGGTCAGATTTGCCGAAACCCCGCTCGAAACCGTCGAAATCTACACTCTCGATGAAAAGGTTCCATTCCCCCATTTCATAACCTTTGGAGCAGTATGTGGTAGGGTTAGATAGAGCTGGATTTGCTACTACCGGGCAATATTGAAATTGATCTGAAAGCTTACACTCGAGAGATAGGGTCTCTCAAATTTTGTCGAGTCAGCGTCGAGGATGCTGAAGTCTACATTTCTTTGTTGAAGACATATTTGCGTCGAGGATCTATCAAAATACATAAAACTAATTGGGGAATCTGGAGACTTTTGAGTATAGGTTTTTTATAAAGGCGGTTATAATTCTACAGGTCGCAATGAGCGACGCTCTCCCAAAATATTCATATTTTTCTGGAGTGTCCTATGATTTTGCGCCGCACTGTATTTCGAAATTTCCATTGAATTCACCGTGAATACATATGTTATCCACGGCGGCAGTTATCCACAATTTCATTTATTTATCAAAGCAAAAAACAAGCAAATATACAGCTAGTACTTCAATGGTGCTTTCGTTCTACAGAGACGGGTACATTGAGATCATCCAAAGCCGTTACCGTCGACGTCCACACATACAGCTTTTCCGCATTGGCAATCCGCGGTATTTTCAAAAAAAACAGGAACGAAAAGAAATTGTTGACTCTCTCAAAACTTGAGTAATCGCACATGATGTTCGATATATTTAGGGACTGAATTCATATTGATCAAAAACACTATCGCGCCCTGGAGACCTTGCTCGGAAATCGTCTCCAAATGCAAGTATTTTGAACTTTGTTACAGGGAAGTGACCATTATGAGATCGCAGGTACTGATATCTGCTCATCACCTATCGTGTTGCAAAGTCGCACTGGTCATCGACGTTTCTACTATCCTGCGCACAAGATTCACTCATTGGACCGAATCAAGGATACCAACCTTTCCCCTGAACACAAAACCACTTAGAATGAATCACGGCGCTTTAACGCTCTTTACGGCAGCTAG